ATTTTAATTTCACATAATTAATTAATTAACTTCCTTAATTAACAGTGCGAGTTCTTTAAGTATCGATATTGACACGGGACACGCGACACAATACGACATAACACTTCGACATGTTAATTTTAAAAAATGTTAGATTTCGACATGTTAGGACACGTTTTTATATTAAATAATATTTTTGATTTATATAGTGTATATTATATCTAATATTCAATAATTTAACAAAAAAATAAAACTAAACTTATAATATTAATCAATTTTGCAAAGAAACATAAGATATCTCAAATATTTATATTAAACTCAATAAAATGATCCAACGAATCTAATAGTTGAAACCAAAATTTTAACGCAACGCAATCTTTGAATCTTTTTTTGAATTTCTATAACTCGATCTTAGAGTGTCGGAGTGTCGAAGAGTGTTGGACACGATATGTTAAGATTTTTGAAATGTCGGTGCTTCATAGTTTATCAAGACTCTAAATTAGGCAACCATCACTTTATCTTTTTAACAAAAAATTTAAAGCATTACTTTTTTAAGATGGATTAAAGCTAATTTGTATTGAAATGTAATACATGAAAAATACTTTTAAGTAAAACTGTGATTTAGATGTTAAAATTAAAAATCACTTTTTATATGTAAAAAGTGATATCATTTATTCAATTTTAATCCTACATGTTGTATAATTAACGTTACTTCTGTTTGCGTGTGATCAGTAGAACGAGTGAACATGCTCTCTATAGTGTGAATAGAACAAAATTAACTTTAGTGAAAATTGTGTTAAACCAACCAGACAACAATAAAAACAAGTAATTGTTGTCGTTTTATGCCATTATCTTTGGTGTATTACTCTTCAGTCTAACATTAATCTATATCTTTAATGTTTAGGATCATTTTACATCAGTGTAAGTTACACTCTTAATCTTATTCGTTGATTCCACTTATATCTAATGGTTCAAATTTTTTAATAATGTGAGTCATTACATACAAGTGGATCAATCGTCAAGATTAAGTGTAAGACTTCTAACTTTTACACTAATGTAAGAATATCTGCCCCATCCTTAATTATATATAATACATATCGAGGTGACAGTCCAGGATATCAGCCACGTTCCAAATGAGTTGTTCTCATTGTCAACACCCTCTCTCCTTTATGATCTTGGCAATTGTTTCACACGTGTGTGTTTTCACTTTTTCTTTTGTTTACTTTTCATCCCTTTTCCCCCCTCTACGACACGACGTCTACTTTTAAGTTTTTAATATATGTGTGAAAGTGCTTTATTCTAAGGTATCACATGAAGTTTACCTACTTTTTGTCTCCCTGTAATTTAATGACACTTATATAAGGTGTCAAGTTTTACTTAACCCACTTATTAATATTATTAGAAAGTTACGTTGTTACCTCCTTGTTACTCCATCCTATTTTTATTGCTTCTTTATTTATTTATTTTTTATACCTACCCTAATACTGCTTCTTTATTTTAGAGAATGGTTGTTTGAGATTTTATAAATTTATACGCATTCAGATAAGGAATAGTTTATATTTATCATAATTTTTTCTTATTATTTTTTTACCACTAATTTTATTATCTTTGCATCAAAATTAAATCAATGGCTCTTATTTGATATTACTTTGTAACTATTCATTTAATTTTAATCTAACAATAACAATATTAATAATAATATATGAAAAAAGGTGGTAAATTTAACTTCCTCTTCAATTAAAGGACTAATATCTTAATTTTATTTAATTACTAATTTTCTGTTATCTTATGGTTTAAACTTGAGTATTAAATATTTAAGACATTATACTCTTTCTATGAAATTCTTAAAACTTAATTAATTTAATCAGAAGTGTTTTTATTTTTTTGTGATGTTAACAATCACGTATTATTCATGATAATTGTAAGGGGACGGTTATACTTACTACCAAGTAAGTTTATTATCCTTACAATCAATCTCATCACTATTAGATTAGAATTAAATCTAACGGTTCATAATTATCCCTTATAATTCTAATTTTTACTCTCTCATCCCCTCTTCGTCTCTCTATGTTTGCGATCTGCACATCTCTCTCTAGGTTTGAGAATCATCTCTCTCATCCTCTCTTCATCGTTATAGCAATTTGATCTTCAGTTTCAATAAAAATATCTAACCAAGACGAATAATTGGACCACGAATTAATTTTTTTTTCATCTTCTTTTTCCATCTTTGCAGATAGCAACTCTTTTTAAAACTTTCATCCACATGTACATTATTTGATAAACAATTCTTCCATCGTCACTGATTCATAATTCTTCCATTACTTTTTTTTTCTAAACAATTCTTCCGTTACTTTAACAATTCATTCTTTATTAAAAATTCATTACTTTATAGCAAATGGTTAGTTAGGTCCTGGGAGAATAAAAAAGGTTGGGTGTTGTACGTGGGGCATGAGATCGATGAAGAGAGGATGAAGCAATCTCTATAACAATGGTAAAAAGAGACTGGGTGTTGTACGATGGTAAAAAGGATAAAAAAGATTAATTTATCCATGTACAATCTCTGTAATGATGAAAAGAGGATGAGTGAGGTGATTCCCAAATCTAGAGAGAGATGTGCAGATCGCAAATCTAGAGAAAGACGAAGAGTGGATGAGAGAGTAAAAATTGAGATTATAAGAGATAATTATGAACCGTTAGATTTAATTCTAATCTAACAGTGATAAAATTGGTTGTAAGGGTGGTAAACTTACTTGGTGGTAAGTATAATTGTCCCCTAATTGTAATACTATTTGGTATTTACAAGAAACCTTAATCCTAGTTATATTCTGCATGCACCTTCATGCTTTAATATGTGTACAAAAATGATAGACGTGCACAATTTTTTTTTCTTTTTTAAATTTCTCCATTTGTTTATTGATTATTTCAAATTCCATCAAGTTGTTCAGAATCAGTCTAAAGATAGCAAAGTAGGTGACTCGCCATGTCCCATCCCACCCTAACCTGCTTTACCTAATCTAATCCGCCCTGCCTTATTTTTGAAAATAACATGCTTTGAGCCTGCCCCCAACCTATCAACATATTAAAAAAGTAAAAAAAAAAATTCAAAAATTATACTCTTGTAAATGTAAAAGGTGTCAAATGAAGACAAAAGAGATATAAAAGAGGTAATTAATAAATAACTTTTAAAAAAAAACAGAGAAAAAAAACAACATATCAGGTCAACCCACCCCCGATGAGTTGAACATGTTTTGGCTCTCCCACAAACGTGGCAGGTTCAAATGGTTTAGAGGATTGGAAATCCCGATCCAACATGGCAGTTGCGACAGAATCCATTTTGCCATCTCACAAGAGTGACAAAACTCTTTTTACCAACGCACAACTATGTATCCAAGACTTAAATTCAATATCACTCATTAAGTTGGAACAATTTCGTATTTGTTGTTTCTTATGCTTGGTAGTATACCATTTTATATGTATTGTTTATTTTGATACTTAGTATATAAAATTGGTGATCAAATATGTATAATGTCATCATTACTATATCTAATTGGTAATCGAAAAATATCCTGTTTATCACAATACATGTTAAGTATTTGTACCTCAACCACTTATGTAAAGATGATGTGAAAAATTAATGTGTAAAAAGCCCATTTGATTTATTTATTATTCAAAAATTAAAAGGACAGTTATTTCTTATTTCATGTGTAAAAAACTCATACACATATATATTGGAATGAAGACCCTCTGCTGTTTGTTTCTAAACTATAGGGATATCAACTCTTCAAATTGATATTAAGTACGGTAAAATATTGATAAAAAATATAGTTAAGTAATTTTCAGTGGTAAGATGTGATGCTACACTCCTAGCGGTTATTTTCACACGTGTAGGAGATCCACATCCTATAACTCGAGCACTATCAAGAAAATAAACGATCAGAATTAAGTTAATAGCAGAAGAAGACTTCACAACAAAATTATATTAAAGAACTTGTTTGTTTAAGAAATTATTTTTTGTTTTTTATTTTTGAAAAAATTCTTAATTTTCAGTTTTTTTTTAATTTTTTTTTATTCTTGTTTTAAAAATGGTTTTATTAATCTCCTTTTACATAAGATAGGTATCTTATGTTGTAGAGAGAAACTAGATGAGTCCCATCATTACAAGAAAAAAGAAAAAGAAAAAAAAAAGTGAGGTGCGAAAATCGAAGTGAGAGAAAATGAGATAAGCTACCTCATGTAAAAGGAGACTAATATTTCCCTTTTAAAAATATGCTTAATTTGTTAACCTCAAAACCACATGTAGAATATATATATATATATATATATATATATATATAGGGGTAGGGTATTCTTACGCCGGTATAAGAGTTAGAAGTCTTACACTCAATCTTAACTATTGATTCACTTGTATCCAATGGCTCACATCACTAAAAAGTTTGAGCCCTTAGATAAAAATGAAATCAACGGACAAAATTAAAAGTGTAAATTATACTGGTGTAAAATGATCCTCATATATATATATATACAGAGAGAGAGGGGGGTAGGTAGGCAGATAACTATGATTTAGTAGCCATCTTTTTGACGGTGGAATCCAAGAGTCCATCTTTTTTGCCACATTCCATTAGTTCATTGGGGGAGGAGAGGCTTGCAATGAACTCATAGTTGGCATGTTCACATGACATTTATTTTGGGCCAATTGATTGTGGAAATGTGTATTGTGCAAATTAATTGTTTTATATTATACAATTATATAATTCAAGCACATTTTACCGGTGGCTATGAAAAATATATTTAATTATGTAGTAACAGTATGAATCATCAATAATATAAAATTCATGCACATGTTACTGGTGGATGTGAAAAATAAATTAAATTACGCAGTAACTGTAGCAATCATTTCAAGTTCTTCTTCATTCATTATCACCTTTCTATAAATATGGCAAAACTTTGTGGTGTCACTAAGCCATGCATTAGTAGTGGAGTACTAGCATACATTGATCGCATAGCATATCCATTCAGCAAAGCAAAACCCCACATGGCCTCTCACACAATCTTCAGTTCAGAATCTGATGAAGACACTTGGGTCATCCATATCAATGACTTGGTAAGTAAAACCGACCTCAAAAAATTAAACGAAATGCCCGTTTGCATTTACCAAGATCCAAAATCTTTGAGTTGTGCCAAACCAGAAGCCTTTACCCCACAAATTATAGCCATTGGTCCTTATAACCATTTTCGTCCCGAGTTATATCCCATGGAAAGGTTCAAAATTCTTTCAGCCAAAAGGGTCTTAGACTACTTCAACAAACATGACCATGACCTTAAACGGCTAGTTGAGAAACTCAAGAGTACAGGGCCTTTTATTCGTGCTTGTTACCACAAATACTTGGACCTTAAAGAAGAAACCTTGTTATACACCATGGCCATTGACGGTATGTTCTTACTCGATTTCTTTCACAACTATCTCCACGAGAAAGCAGCTGGTCCTTTCTTGAAAGATATAGAACAACAAGAAGTTCAGAGAAGTGGTGAGAAGCTAACCAAGGATGCCATCATAAGAGACGTGATCATGGTCGAGAACCAAATTCCAGCCTTCATATTGGGGAGAATCTTGCTGATTGAAAGCTCCGAAACTGAAGATTCAGTTAAGCAATACTTGGGATCGTTGCTCTTGTCATTCTGTGAGAAACACTCTCCACTCAAGTTAACTCAAACCCCGACATGTTCTGAGGCTGTCACCAAGCACTACCATCTCTTGGATCTCTTCTACCATTCAATTGTCTCTGAGCATGAAAAGTCAGAAATACAAACATTTGAAACAGAAGGTATGTGTAAGCCCCCTAGTAATAATGCCTCTTCCCCTAGTGCTCCTGAATCAAATAGAAGCTCAAATTCTGAAGGCATAGTCACATTGTTAAAGAAAGTTAAAGTTCCATTTAAAGGGATAACAGATGCTCTCAAAAAGCTTAAGGACACGAATATTCCTCTTTTGGAACCAATTAAAAAACCCATAGATGCAATACTCCATTTGTCAAAGTTTGAGTCTTTATCATCAGAAATGTCCAATTCTGAAACAGAAGCTCCTGTGGTTGTCACCATTCCTTCTGTTTGTGAGCTTCATTCTGTTAGGATCCGTTTTGAACCCTCCAAAGGTGGCATCAAGGACATTCATTTCGATGAGAGGAATGGCATATTTTACCTCCCTGTGATCAAATTGGATGTGAACTCAGAAGTGATAATGAGAAACATAGTGGCTTATGAGGCCTTGACTCAACCAGATTCACTCATATTTACAAGGTACACAGAGTTGATGCGTGCAATCATAGACACAGTGGAGGATGTTAAGCTTCTGAAGAATGCACATATCATAGAAAAAACTAGCTCTCTCAGTGTGGAAGAAACTACGGATCTTTTTAATGGGATGAGCAAATCCATCGGACCTACTAAAACTAAAAAGTTGGATGAAACCATTCAGAAAGTTAACAAGTACTTCCATGATAAGAGGAAGGCCAATCTCTATAGGATCTTCACCAATTATGTGTACTCTTCCTGGAAGCTCTTCACACTTCTTGCCACCTTTGTGCTCTTGGCCATGACGGCTCTTGAAGCACTTTGCTCGGTTTATGATTGTCGTAGTCGTTTCAGACTGAAATGATTTTCTCATATCATTTTTCTTTTTGGAGTTATTGATTTTTCTTTTTAGAGGTAGTGTGTGATGATGTCTGTTAGTTGTATGACATGATGTGATGTTATTAGTAGTGTAATTGGTGTTTATGATGTTCATGGGTGTTTATTGATAGTGTAATGGGCTTTTATCTATCTGAAATCAAGTACCATGAAGATGAAAACAGAGAGTGCGGAGAGTTTCATTACGAAATCATAATCCTTCAAATATTCCATGTATCTCCTTTATCTCATATTCCTTCTGATCAAACAAATATTTTAAACTTGTATGATACTGTAGACCACAAAACTTACACCATTTTAAAAATGCCGCCGTATCTTCAAAGCGAACACTATGGCTGCCAATTCCAAATCATACGTAACACCCCCAAATTTCTAACAATTTATAAAACATTCTTATAATAAAGAAAGGGAAATATAAGAATTATGTTGCAGGAATGACACTGTTCATTCCTGCAACAAGGATCCGACAACGTATCTTAAGGATACAGCGCCGTATCCTGATTTTGGTTTGACTTTTTTTTTTAAGCGTGGGACCCACACTTGATTTGTGTGTGTAGAAAAATAGTCTTGTCATATGACATGACAAAAAGCGAACCCATAAAGAAATTGTCAAAATTCACGTTTTATTTATCTATGATCATAGAAATATTGCGGAAGCTAATCTAAAACTAATTTCGAGAAATATTACTTTCGCACCTGTACAGGGAGAAGTGCAAGGCTAATTCTATTACACTCAAATAAAATCAAAGACTATGTTTTTATACAAAATATTTAGGACTAGCTAGAAATTCTAAGTCGTTATCCTCATTGCCCACTGCTAGCGCCATCCTTTGAAACCTATTTCACTGAAAGTCTGCTCTCCCGAAGGATCATTGCAGCCAAACAAACACAAATACAAACAATCAGCAAAGCTGGTATTCCTAATCAAAACACAATTTATATAACTCAAATATAGTAATCAAATTAAATATATAATTACATAATAATTGAATCAAATATCATCTTCGTCATATATAATATATTCCTATCATAATCACATCAAATATCAACTTCAATATTCATAATATATATTTCCATCATAATCACATCAAATTATCAACTTCAATATATATTCACATCGAATCAAATATCTTTCATAATCTTTATTAAGTTCATTTAGTGGGAAGAGAACCATGGTAGACCCGGAGATCCTGTCAGTCTACCCTGTGACCTGGATATCCTGCCAGTCACACATCAACAATTCAGCCATTATCAAAAACATCTCTTACCAAAGTTGCTACTAGTATCCTGGATATCCTGTTAGATACCACTTTGAGAAGAACAGATAATATCTGTTCACTTCGTATAAATATATCGGAGGTATAAAACCCAAAGGTTGTATTCATCACTTTAGGAGGTACCATCCCAAAGCTATTCTCCCACCATTAATTTATTACAATTACACATAATAAGGAAAAATTCAATCTTGTCTCAATTACCATATTTGGAATATTTATTCTTTAAGTATTATCATTGTTGCTCAAGAGCGTCATAATTTTTCAAATATCTATAAAAAATTTCCAACATCTATCAAAATTACAGTCCAAATCATATCAATTATACATCATCATAATTTTCCAACATCTGTTATATTAGTTTTCCTTCATCATAGTTTTTTTCAATTTATTCAAGAATATCATAACTTAAATATCCAACATCTATCACAGAAAGTCCAAATCCACTCATCATATCAATTAGCATAATTTTCCAAGGTATCAAAATCATAATTTCCACAATTATTCAATATGATCCATATCACACATATATGGCACATAATTAATCTTCAAAAGATACCATAATCATAATTTTCAAAAATTTGAATTATTCCCCAAAAATAATTATATAACTAATCCCATTATTTTCTATTGTTTAGAACCCAATAAAGTTCCAAATAATATAATTAACCTAAGAATTAAACCCAATAAAGTTCCCTAATAATACTCGTATAATTAATCCTATTAATTTCAATGGTTAAAACCTAATAAGTTCCCAAATAATATAAATAAATTTATAAATAACCCTATTATTTTCTAGAGGTCAAAATAACATTAAACAAAATATTATATAAAATTAATCTATTAAACCTAAAGGATTATGACACACCCAATAAATTTTATATAAAACAAATCTATGGTGCCCTAATCATGAGGATTACATCAAACAATATTCATATCAATCTACCATATGACTCTCTAGGAATTAGGATTACCTGGTGATTTGAGTAGAGAAGCATTTGATAACCAAAGGAAAATAATGATTTGAGCAGAGAAGCAATTGATAACCAAAGGAGAATAATAAAATAAAAATAAATAAAATAAAATAAAATTTTGAAGAAAGAAGAGAGAGTAGCAGAGGAGAAGAGGAGAAATACTGAGGATTGATTAAGGTTAGGCTAGGCCTCTATTTATAGCTGAAGTTTAGGTCTCAGACATGGGTTGGGCTTCATACAATTATTTTCTTTTTCTTCTTAATATTCTTATTGTAATAACCCAAAAATCATGTAATCAAAATTAGTTTAATGAAATGGAATCAAAGAGGGTCAAACCCATATTCAGTGAACGATTAGCTTTGAAAAGCAAAAATTAGTTCTAAGTTAGAACCCACTCTAATTAAGATAAGTAGTAACTTAACCCAATGTGGTTTAAAGCCCAAACAATGTCATAGCCTGACCCACTTAAGAATATAAATAAGTTAAGATCAAGTGAGAAAGGATATAAGCCCAAAGCAATGCAAACCCATTTTATGAATAAGACATGGCCCAAATAGTATACACATAAAGACCCAAGCCCACATCACTTATACCAAGCCTTGGCCCAATCACTAATGATCCAACATCTACTACCTCAATGGGCCGAAAACAACCACCAAGCCCAACCCAATTCAAAGGAACAATCCTAGATGAGGTGTCATCACATGATTGGAGGAATTTGAATGAGCTCCACCTCCCCTCAAATATCAAACTCGGCCATGATAAGAAGAAAAGGGAGTGGTGTTGCTTTCCACACTCCCTAGGCGCCACTTAAGGAAAGAATGGACAAGTAAGAGATTGTGTAAGATACACTCCAAGCCTTAACCATGCATGTGATCTTCTTTCTCCAAAAAGCAACTCTCATTTCCCATCCTACATTGGACGACGCAAACAAGAAGGAAGAAGGAGGATTGCTTCTTCCACACTCCAAACCTAACCAATGCATGTGACTTACCTTAACCAAACGCAACACTACTTTCCCTTAAGCTACCTTGGAGGACACACACATGACAAGAAAAGGAAGCTTTCTTCTTACACACTCAAGCCATGCATAACACACCACAAGAACCAAGGCTTTCCCTTCTCCCTAAGCACCCTACACGGTCACCAAGAGGATCACATGACCAAAACTCCTTCTCCTCTCAACCTCGGCCAAACCGCCCACAAGGAACCAAGAAACCTTATCACACTCAAACCCTCCTTGAATCAAGCGCCTATGACATGAAAAGAGTTGAATAAAAAATTAAGAAAAGGTTTCCCTTTCCCCCATATGTCACGGCCATGCTCACCAAGACAAGAAAGTGTTCTTCTTTCACTCAAACACTCCACACTCAGCACCATCCTTCCCCAATGCATGTTAGAAGCTTCCTTCACACTCCCAAGTAACACTCAAGTACACCTCACCAAAACCCTAAAGAAAATGATGACAAAGCCTAAATAAAAGAAAGGGCAAAAAGCTTTTCCCCCTCCCCCACAAGGTCGTGCAATACCAAGACATAAGGCAAATGACTTCTCTTCTCCTCACACCTTGGCTTCGGCCATCTCTCCCTCTCAACAAGCCAAGCAAGCAAAAACACTTGAACATATCATCTTCCCTTGCTCCTAAGCCTCGGCCATATCAAGTTAAAGGACCTAAGATCACCTCAATACTCTTCTAAGCTCTCCAAACTCCCTTGTCTTCACCCACAGAGAGAAAGTCCAAGAGGTTGTTGGAAGCAACTCTCAATCCTAGAAGACTACTTGAAGATCAAGTGTGAAACATTGGTTAAGAACTCACGATCATCATTAAGGTAAGATCTTATGAGCCCTTCATCTCTTCAAGCTAGTAGAATGAACCCTAACGAATTTACATGACTAGATCTCGGACTAATAAAGCCATGCATGCATCTATCACCCTTGAAATCACCTCCTAAGTATATCATCTCTAAATGGCCGAACCTAAATGGTATGCATGCACCCTCTAAATCTTCACAATATTTACTAAGCAACCTAACCTTAAATGGCCGAATCTATATGTACCCTACTAGATATTGAATATGTTCTTTAAGGTAACATGAAAAATGTTGAAGTAAATGTTTTAAACAAACATGTAGGAAAGCATTATTGAAGAATCACCACCTAAATGGCATTAACCCTAAATGGCCGAACTTGATGAGTATTAAACCCATGAACATATTATCAAAATTATCCCTAGGTATGCACCCTCTAAATGGCCGAACCCTAATAAGCCTCAAAGGGAAATGTGTGAATGTTTTCTTAGTACCATGATGTATGGCCGAAATGTATGCCATAGAATATGAACTAGGCATGAAAACAACTAGTAAAAATTATCTCCTAGGCATTTTCATCCTTAAAGGGCCGAACCTATGACATGAAGGATATTAAGTTTAGATCTTTTAATTTTAGAACCATGTACTAAGGTTGACTATGTGACTAGGACAAACCAAACTTGAAAAGAGATCCAAGATACTAGGACCTTCATTTGGCTGAATCCATCACCTACGGGAAGAATTTACAAAGCGAAAAAGTTGTAAGTGATTTACGGTTGTTGTAGTGGTTTCCCTATGGTTGCCACCCCTTTATGTTAATGTGTGGTCTGACTGCAATTTGTTGTATGATGTTGTACATGATATGTTTGGTTGTTTGGAACTAATGTTTTGTTCATGCAAGTTGTAATGTGATGGCCTGTTCACTAATACCACAGAGGCAACCTGATGAGGACCCTGGGTATTCGTCCGTAAGACCATGGAGAGTATTTGCCCTGGCAGAATTGGTATGATGAAATGAAAGCATGATTATTTTCCAAACTATGTTTCCAAACTATGTTTCAAATGTTTTCCATTCTATTATTGTATATGTTATTATATGACAGTTGCAGGAGTAAGCATCATGGTTTGGAGGTTGCTCCAATTGTGAGTCCTTACTGAGACCCCCAATCTCACCCCTCTTTGGGGATCCCCCTTTCAGGTAAAAATGACCAAATGGGTAAGGGAAGGCAAGAGGCTGGTACGTCTTGAAGAGGACGAAAGGCAGCAACTTACGAAAAACTTAATGAACTTTATAAGGAAGGAAAGATTTTGCAAGCCATGTATACCGTATGGTTTGAGTTATTTGGACATTATGACTACACTGAATCCTTGTGGATTGAGGATGCACCTTGCTAATGGTGTACTTAACTTATATTTTGGATGATTGTAATATGTTATTCCTATTATCTTAGACATTTAAACTGCGGATAAGGTGCTTTATTTTGGGATATTTATGCTTGAAATTTATGTTTTATGGACTATGAAGTTAAGTAAGTAAATAAGTAACGCGAGTTACCATCCGCATAAGATACTTAAGTAACCATCTACTTGGTAGTAGTCGAAACGAAATTTATTCCGCTGTGATTAAGCTCCCGAAGTAACATGTAAGTACAAGCAATGTAACACAACGTCTATGAAAGTTAGGGTGTTACACTTATGGCTCAGAATATCGCTGACTCATCATATCTAATGAAATAAAGATTGTTAACTCATCTTAATCCAATCACATTACCAATCAAACAGTAACAATTAAATATTAATGCATAAATGATCAATCAATTAATAATTCAATTAATCATAATTTATCATTAGTCCTAATAACACACACACACAGACACACACACATATATACACATTATTATTATTACTACTCATTTATCATTTATTATTATTATCAATTTATTATTATTATAAATTACTATTATTTTCTTGAGATATTACATCATGAGTAGAATAATTTTCTTCATGTGGCTTCAATTGTCTTGAAGTATATGCAACAACTTGCCTATTTTGCATCAGAACACATCCTAGACCCATTTTTGAAGCATCGCAATATATCTCAAATTCACCCTCATGATTAGGTAAAATCAAGATTGGAGCCGTGGTTAGCTTTGTCTTCAAATTCTCAAAACATTGCTCATACTCATGGGTCCAAAAAAATGAAACACCTTTCTGGGTAAGACGTGTTAAAGGTAACACGATGTGTGAGAAATCCTTAATAAATCTTTTGTAATAACCAGCTAATCCGAGAAAATTTCGGATCTCAGTGATATTCTTTGGTCGTTCCCAATCCAAAACAACTTCTATCTTACTGGATCAACTGCCACTCTTTCAGCAGAGATGACATGACCGAGAAATTGAACTTCCAAAAGCCAAAACTCACACTTTGACAGCTTAGCATATAATTGTTTTTCTCTTAAAACCTGCAACACCATTTTCCAATGTTTCGCGTATTCATCTTCACTCTTAGAATATATCAGGATATCGTCAATAAAAACTATAACTAGCTGATCCAGATAAGGTTTGAAAATTCAGTTCATATAATCTATGAAAATGGCCGGAGTATTAGTGAGTCCAAAAGGAATCACCAAGTATTCATAATGACCATAACGAGATCTAAACGCAGTTTTAGGCACATCCTCCAATTTGATTCGGATCTAATGATACCCCGATCAGAGATCGATCTTTGAAAACACTAAAGCACCTCTCAATTGATCAAACAAATCATCAATATGGCCAGAGGGTACCGATTCTTGGCAATCACTTTGTTCAACTGCCTATAATTCGTGCAAAGCCTATGATAAACCCTTAGTTTATAAGGTTTTAAAGCATGAATTAGTTTAATTTATGTGATTAAATGGATAGAAAATGGTTAATGTCCTAGAAAGTCCTAAATACAAGTTCTTGAAGCTTTGTTGAAAATTTGCATTGTTCTTGTAGGGAAATGATTCTCAATGAAGCAAAAGAGAGAAGGAGGAAAATTCTGAAGAATGGGAAAATTCTAAGTGTTGGGCGCTAAAACGTCCAAATCGAGCGTTTTAGCGCCCTGCTGCAAAATGAAGCCAAAAAGATGCTGGTGCTGAGCGCTAAAACGGCCAAATCCAAGAGTTTTAGCGGCGACGAGTGCTAAAACGGTCAAAGTCAAGCGTTTTAGCGCCCAAGACAGTTGAAGGCAGTTGGGCATCCGTCAAGGTTGAGCACTAAAACGTCCAAAAATGAGTGTTTTAGCGCCCAAGTCAGTTTTTGGTTAATTTTCAGTTGTAATTTGAAAACTATAAAAGGCATGAGGCCTTCACATTTGAACATCTCAGATCATATCTCCTATCATTCTATTCTGACTTTTCCCATCACACTAGGAGAAGGGAGATCAGGTCAGATCTTTCATAGATCTGATCTGACTCCTCATTTTCTCTGACTTTCCAAATTCTTTAGGATTAGTTTTTGTAATAGTTAGTATACTTTCATGTAATTGTACTTGAAGATTGAAGACTCAACTATCATGACAATGGAGTTTGATCTTTCTTCTTCCTTTGTTTGTATTTCAATTATGTCTGAATAGAGTCCCTTATAGTCTGATTCAAAGGAACTCAAGTGTGAATTTATGAATGGTTAATTGAATACTTTGTTTATCTTTTATGTGATGATATGGAGTTGTCTTTATTAATGCTTTCCATCAAGGGAGTAGTGTAGAACATGGATGTTTACATTATTCCTATAACTGACAATTTCATCATCAATGTTCTAGTACTCAAGGGATTGATGCTAGGATTCTAATGTAATCTTAAAGATCTTAGTATTTAATGCATATATTAAGAAGGGAATCACCAAGGGATTGGGGTTTCTGATTAATGTATCAATCAGGATAGTAAGGGATTACATCATGATGATAAGAAAAATGTTGATTAACATCATATAGGAGATAATTCATGGTAGAAATTGATTCATACATAAGTTCATGCTTGGGGGATATTGATGTCTAACTACTTGTTTAAATTATAATTTACATTTTATTTGTTTTATCAAATCTTAATTTAATTCAATTCAATTTCTGGTGACAAAATTCAATGCAATCCATAATCTTTTGTTTGATTCAACTCAAGTATATATGGTTAGTTGGTGCTTGAACACAAATCCTCGTGGGAACGATCTTTACTCATCATTTTATTACTTGATCGTTCCCACGAGTTTGGAGTTTATCTTGGGTATGGATTGGCCTTATAAAATTCTTATTCGAAAGATCTTCAATTTGCTTTTTCAATTTCGCTAACTCCAAAGGTGACATTATGTACGGAGTCATAGAGATAGGACCTACACCAGGTAGTAAATCAATAGTAAACTAAATCTCCCTCTCTGGCAAAAATTGAGGAATTTCATCCGGAAATACATCTTCAAATTCACGAACAACAAGAATGTTCGTAATGGATTTCTTACTATCTCCAACCAAACCTCCTAAAAACAAATAACCCAAATCTCCTTGCTTTAAAGCTTTCTTAACTTGAAGTACCGACAGATACGGAGAGTTTTTCACATCCTTCTCTGAAGATACTATAACCTTTTTACTACAACAATCAATCATCACATTATTCTTCATCAACCAATCCATACCCAAGATAAACTCCAAACTCGTATTCTCCAAAATAATTAAATCAACAACATAGGTTTGACCTAGAAACTCTACTTCTTTGCACGTCATCGTGCTATAACACTTCTCACCAATGGCAGTCTTAACCACCATCAGAGGAGACACTTCAAACAAAGGTTAAATGAGTCCAATAATGACAAGACTAGAGATAAATGATTGCATAGCTCCAGAGTCAAACAAAAAATCAACATCATAATTATCAATATAAATTGTACCTTTCACAAGATTAGGAGACGTTCTAGATTGCTGAGGATCAAGGGTAAAAACCCATCCTGTTGTTGGAGTATCCTGCACTAAAGAGGTATTCGAAATTACTTGCAAACGGGCGGCTTGATATAGAATAGCCTGAAGAGGAGCAGACTGCATAAGCGTAACTTGAATAGCTTTCTGAGGACAATCTTTAATAAAATGACCCGACTGGCCACACTTAAAACATAAATTCTGAGCCCTCCAGCAAACACCGAAATGATTCTTACCACATTTGGCACATTTAGGAATAGGTTTAGGATTACCATTCTATGGTTTCCAAGGCCTCTTAAATTTATCACCAGGTGATCTCGCTTTAAAATTCTTGCCTTTATTTCTTTTCCATAAAGGAACTTTGCTCGATCCAGCTTTAGCATTTGCTTCCTTCACCTCAATTGGTTTCTTATATGCACTATAAACTTCTTCCACAACCTTGCATTGCTTAATTAGAGTAGGAAAGTCTCTAGATGCATAACCTGAAATCTTCTTTGCTAGCTTTTCACACAAACCTCATTGAAATCTCACTGCTTGTTCAGTAAGAGTAGGTACAACCTTCCTGTAATGAGCAAACTTTACAAGTTCATTGAATTTAGCCAGATATTGATCAACATTCATTGTTCCCTGCTTCAGCTCTAGATATTCTTTCTCCTTACTTTACCTAGCTTCTCCAGGAAAGTACATGTCCAAGAAAAGATTCTTAAACGAATCCTAAGTAATTTGCTGACCTTGTTGCTTCAAAGGTCGTGAAATATTCGTCCACCAATCATGAGCATCACCCTATAACATGTAAGTAGCAAACACCAGTTTCTCTGGATCTCTGCACCTCATAACTTTAAAAATCTTATCTATGGCTTGCAACCATCTAGCAACTTCTGTCGAATCATATCCACCCTTAAATGGCAGAGGCTGATGTTTCCTAAAAGCATTAAACCTTCTTTCCATAGCTTCATCATCCTCAATCATCTGCTGTTGTCCGGCACCAGTATGTTGTTTAGATTCTTCATGTCTAGTATTTCCTTTATGACTTTCTTCACCATCATCACCTACCACAAGAAAAGTATGATGAGATGGGGGAGGTGGTGGCGGTGGAGACGGTTGAGGTTGTGGTAGTGGTCGTGGTTTAGCATTTCCACCCGTCTTGAACTCTTCCAGAATAGCCGAAACATATTCTGGTTATTCACTCTGTTCTTGTTCAGCATAGCTTGACATACCTGCCTGTTGACTTCAGCTTCAGCCTGCCTATTCGCTTCCATTACTTGTTGAATACCAGCCAAAGCTACAGCTATAGGATCCAGCGATGGATCAGATGTTCCCCGAGTCCTTCGAAGAGGTACCATGATTCTGCACATGTCACACAAATGAATGAGTTAATCAGGTCTACACTTAGTGATCACATATGCATACCCATAGCAACGACTAAAAGTAACTCATAACATCAAATTGGCTATACAAAGGGAATTTCCTAGACCAAATTACTCTGATACCATAAATGTAACACCCCGTCTGCAGCCGGTGAGTTAACCTACATATAGTACACAAGTGCCTTACAATTTATGAATTAAGCGGAAGGCTTAACATGCGTATTTAATTAAGTTATGACAAAATAAAAATAAACTTTTTCCTACAGACTTATCCTATTAATCTTGTGATTTACTTTACATTAATAATTAAAGCATATCCTATTATTCCCCACATTGCCACAGACAAGCTTAAATCCAAATGTTATAATCTGCACAGTCCCATACCTGTACAAATTTCTTGAACGATCTACCTACGTCTATTATACTCATATCTGTACTGAACATATATATTCCATTCAAATATGATCACAGAGACCATTCCGAACAGAAAATCTACGGACAACATAACGACTGTAATTCGGATAAATCCAAATTTCAAATTCCAGTAATACAAAAAGTCTACACAAAATATAAATAAACATTTCCAAACTTAGAATTCATTCATGAATTCACACAGAATCTGACTCAATATCAGTCCTTAACACAATTAAACCTGCAAATCTTAAATTGCAATAGATAGAAAAACATACTGAAATACCTCCTACTGAATTATGGCTTAAAGCCAATACACAACATACATACTGAAATTCATAACTCCATTACAGATAATCAAAGTAAAGACTAGACATGTCTTTCAAAAGATAACAGCTGACAACATGCATGGATACTACACATGCCTGAAAAAGTATATACATATACACACAAATCAAAATACAAAATTCAGCTCCAACACTAGCCATTCTGCATAGGCCTTCTGCCCTGAGATGACTGATCAACAACTACTGGAATACTTGAAATATATCCCCACAACATGGGACGAGAAATAAATCTTGTAAACTCAGGGTTTATGGAGAAGTCTCCACCCATGAGTTCACTTTCCTGCATGAAAGGTCAGATACATAGCATAACATACATCATATAATCACAAAATCATATTTGACCATAGCATAACTACTCGTCTACATAGATAGCTCTAGGAATTAAATCTCAAGAGCAACCAGAGCCAACCAGTCTAGGTGTACTCATGGTCTATTTGAATCTGTTCATTGTACAATAACCCACATACCACATCTCATATCACATCAAATCATGTTATAATCTATATGAATGCAACTACACTATATATCCGACTATCGCAAAACACAAACATACAGATATACCTCCAAGATAATGAAATCCTGGTAGAACAAACAAAGAGAAAGAATCCTCTTAAACCAAGAGCTTACCTTTGTAGCTTCTAGCGACCTTACTTGTATAATAAGTAATCAAGTCAAATCCTCCGAACAGTGATCAAGAATCACTGTATCTCCTGATTCACACCTGTACCCAGATATATATCATATTTGACATACCCACAATCATATACACATTGAATTCATGTTATAAACATCCAATTAATCATTTTGCACATCAATCTTAATTTACCTACACTTGGCCGAATGTATGCATAGGTAAGTACTTAGGATTTTCTTTGTATTTTATCATACAATTTCATTAACAAATCATCACACAACCTTATGTCCATCATCAATCATATATCAACACATCATAATCATACACTTAGTATGCATAGTCAAATTTACAACTTGAACAGCAACACTTTGCATGCATTTTTTTTAACATACAAATCATTAATTAAGCTTTAAATCATCAATTAAACATCACACCATATCAATTAACATACAAGCATCATCAAATCATATCAAACCCTAATTTACTATTCATGACCGAAATTTCAAAGTTAGGGTTAGGATTCATTAATGCATTTTTTCAAGAATTCATGATATAGTCTTTTTTTTTGTTTTGTAAATTCATGATATAGTCTTTGATTTATAAGATTAAACAACCAATTTCCAACACAAAACCATTTCAAAATTCATCATAAACAAACATAGAAATTCATGTTGAACACAAGAACACAAAGGTTCATAAATCATCATTGAATCAACAAAGTTGTTAGCAATTACTTTGAATAGCTTCCTTTAGGTAACCTTAAGCTTTTTCCAACATAAAAACCCAAACAAAACTCATCCAAAACACCAAAGTAAAGATGCCATATTCAACCTTTAAGAGGGATTATATGACTCGATATAAGGGTAGGAAGTGTATGGTTTGAGGGCTTTTGGTCACAAGCTCACAAGGAATTTTTTTCATGTTGAAACTTTCTTGAAATAATGGCTAGAAATCAAAGTTCTCACAAGCTCTCACTCTCAAAGTATGCCACGGTCATGGAGGATAAGAAGATGAAGTATTTTGTGTGTCTTTAAGAAAGAATAAGAAGATGACAAGTGGTTTGAAATTAAAATGATTAAAGATTTACTGTTTATGACTTTTTAAGCTTTTTAACTTAGTTTTTTCTATCAAATTTTAACCAAACTTTCAAGACAAGTCTCCCACCTTAAACATCATATTTTTCATCGTGGGAAACACCAAAGAAAGAGTGAAAACCGACTTGCACAAGTGGAAGGAGAAATAGCACACCATTTTTTTTACCTTTTCAAAGATAAAAAACTTATTTTTCATTGGTTTTCACTTTACACATCATCCACTTGAATTTTTGACCAACCAATCATACAATAATATAATTACACATCACATATAGCATAGAAAGCAAGACAATCATCTTTGACCAAAGATTAAGCCTAGGTGTAAAGTTTAAGCTTACTTTTTCAACTAGTTGACTTTTTAATTAATCAAACTTTGACCTATTTATTTAAATTATTCTACACATCATTTAATTAATTTAAACACATATACAAACCTTAGAATTTATCAGAGAATTTAACTACACTGTCAGAACTCAGTTCAGACCTAGTTTGCAAAATTATCAAAATACCCTCGTTACACAATTTTCTGTATTTTATCTCTAAACACAACTTATGTTCTTTTTAGGTTCTACTTGACTTGTTAGGTATGAATTGTATCATTACATCCCTTATCATGATAGTTTCATGATTCAACTGACAGAATTCCCTTAACAGACACAGAATTTACACATTGTCTCACGTAAATGTCAAATTTTAAATAGTCTGAGAATTAATGTTGTTATAGAGAGAGTACAATAATCAAGCAAGAAGAAACGTGTACAACAGAGATGAAAGAATTCTCATTTGTCTAATAAAAGAAAAAGAATGTGGGTTTCAGAATAAAAAGGCAAAATTCAACCCTAAGTTGTATATTCAAGCAACTTGCTTTATCTGTCAAAGCACCAGTGCACCACCTCTCCATACAACCATGAAACAGCTGAAGAAGAATCACAAGATTTCCATCCTCTTCCTCAGCCTATAAATAGGAGAGTCCTAGACGAAGAAAATGATCAAATTCCTTAGAAGATATCATATAGTTCATAGCTTAAGTTTCTGTCTTATAACTTGTATAGTTTTAACAATAGCTAAGTGACAACAACCCTTTCCCCATTCTCTAGCACCATTTGAGACTCTTCATGAGCAATCTTCATATTTCTCCATTTTATTTCTCAGTATTCTAAAACTTGTTGTTTATTAATATACGTCTGTTATTTCTCTTCTCTTTTACTCGTTATCTTCAACTTAATCTCGGGTCTATGGGATTTCAGACTAGAATAACTATGTTTGAGTTTTC